GCCCAGCCGGAGGCCGTGCAGGGTACCGCCAAGGAGGCCGGTGGCACGGAGCAGCCGGACCCCTCCACCATGACTCCCCAGGTAAGGCATTGCCACCGCCACACTCGCCCCTGCGGCCCAGGCTGGCAGCGGGGAGCTGCCAGGGCAGCGGTGAAAATTAACCGCTGGCGGGTACCAGGTGTTGCAAAGGTCTCCGGGTAAGGGCAGTTAGTAAACACGCCCTATTTGCATAATACTTAAAGGGTTTGAACGCAACCCTTGGAAGTCCAGGAATGGCATGGCTCAGGCGAGGCTCAGTTAATGCTTCTTTAACCAGTGGTGGGTGTCAGGATCTAACAAATCGTTATTTTTCAAGAGCAGATGAGTTCTTCTGGGAAAAGTCTAACTCCTGGCTGAACTTAATTTTCTTGGGGGGTTTGTTGGTGTCTGGAGAATTTTTTCCCAAATACAGCATGTGGGCAACTTGCACCAAACCTCTGTTGACTTTCTCCGGCCTATTTTGAGATGCAACAGTCTGTTTGCTTATTGCATGTTGCAGGATGAGCGCCTCTTCAGTGATTCCTTCAGTTAGTTTTCTCATGGGGTCATATTTCGGTTGTCTGTGTGACTAGAATTGTGACTATTTTAATCTTGTCACACATAGTTAAAGCTGCAAAAGAGTTTCTGTCGTAGTACATAGTTGCCCTTTACTTAGATGTTTTGTGCTGCATGTACTTGATCTTCCAGTATAAAATCATATGAGACATTGGAGGGAAATGTTCTGAAATGCTTCTGAAGTGAAAAATGCTATTACTGTTAATGCTGGGTGCTTTTTTTGTGTAGGTAAGGGCTAAAATGCCTGTAAAACGTTTGCATGCTTCACTTCCTAAATGTGAGCAGTTCTAGTGAAGTTGATGTGACCGTTATATGCATTCAGTTAGGGACAATCTAGTTGCTTAAGGTTAAGCATGCACAGAGACACATGCGTGTTGAGGTCCTCAGCTGTGTATACAGGTCAGATTCACTGAGGCTTTTGCATGGGTTTAGGGTTAGTTTGTAGAGACCCAGCTGCAAGAACAAAGCTGAAGTGCACGCTTTATTTTGACTTTATTTAAGTTTAAAAGACCTCTGGTTTTGGCAAATTGATCTTAGGATTCTGATTTGAAGCTGAGCTTGCAAAAATCCTGTTGTGTCATATTGAAGTTACTGACACTTTAAATTTGTTAATCGTTGGGACACCTTTTTAATTGTATCCATTAAAATTTCATACCAATACCTGAATATGTTTGGGAACGTATAATTTTTAAGTTTGCACCATGTAACTAATCACTGCCTAGCAAAGTGGTGCTTTCAGGTCATGAATTTAATTTTACAAAGGTTTTGGATAGTACTAGTTGGTATTTTACAGTGATAGCAATGGCACTCACTGATTTTTTTAATGACAAAACCAAAACCTTGAAAAATCAGATGTAAAAAGTGTTGTTAATTTGGTACTGTGACTGCTTGCTGACTTCTTAAATTATTGAACTCACAATTGAATAGTAGACTGTAATTCCTTCCTCCTTATGTAGCCTGAAATGCCATTAATGTTATTTAATTGTTCCTCAACCACTGTCTCCTTTCCCGAAGAGTTGCAAGTAATGTATTATTGCAGTGCATACATAGAAGCAGCAGAATACTGCTGAAGTTTACATTGTCTGGTTTATGACTGTTTATACAAACAGCTTCTATCTGGGGTAGTTTGTTTACATTTATGCACAATTCAGTGTTAATTCAAAAGCAATATGGTACTTTGGTCATAAATTTGTGTTATAACAGATTGATACGTTTTTGGCTATCTTAGGCTGTAAAATGGGACAGGATTTGGAGCACCAAGTCCTTACACAATAGGAATAGGAAAAGCAAAGCATAGTGGTGCTTTCTTGCTAACGATCTTAAAAGCGGAGTAGAGAAATACTGTAATTTGTCATTTATAAGATCCTATTAAGCTTTTGTTTAATAGTTGAAAACAATTATTTCTGTTCTCATCCCACAGCAAAAGTGTCTGCAGCCAAATAGATCAGTGTTTTTCTCTTACCATAGAAAATATTATTCAATTTGCCATGAGTTAGTGTTTTATTGTTTCCCTTTCCTATCTAACAATAAGATACCACTCTTTGCCCTGACAGTATTGTGAGTTTAGCGTAGTTTCTTGCATAGGTGTACAGTTGGATTAAATTGCTGGATTCTTGTGTTTCTCTACAATCAGATGCGATTTCTGTCAAGTCCCTTTAAAATACCTGTGGTATTTCATTAATGCTCCATCTGATATTTAGGTACTGTATGCTGCTGTTTATTTACAGTAGTAAGTAAATGTGGGAGTGCATCTGTACCCATAATATGCATTTATCTACATCTGTTGAAGCTACCTTAACTTTACCATGTCACCTTGCAGCAGACTGCCGCACTCTTTAAAATCCCCCTTTTGTTTTATAAAAGGCGCAAAACCATTCTTTTGCTATCTTTACCAGAAAAGGACTGAGTGTCCCCCAAAATAGGCATTATGTTATGGCCTAGGGTCACCTAAATTCATTTTCAAGTAGTCTTTTGGAGTGGGCTTAGTGTTAATGTTTTTGGTGGTATGTCGTGTGGTCAGGAGCTGATAGTGCTGGTTTCAGCATTCCCTGTACAATGCAACAGGGAATGCGTAGTCTCTTGGTCAAAGATGGAAAAAGGCTTATGTTGGTGCTGGTGTGTTTCTTGGGCTTAAGGATTGTAACTGAGCTTGGAGAATGACAGTCATCGTGAGGAGATAAGCACTCGAATAACTAAACTTCTCGTCATCTGGAATTTTCTACACTGGTGCATCTGTTTTGCTCAGACTAAGCTGTAGAAATCTACCTTTCCACTTCTCTCACACTTTTCAGATAGAATCTGCAATACGTGTGTCACTGACTCAATCTGCTGTAAAAAATAGGTGACAGGGTATTATCATAGCTCTTTGTGTGAACCCCTGGTCATATTATGAGTTCTAGCCCTTTGTCCAGTTGGTAGAATGAGGAGGAAACAAAATGGATCCATGGAGACAACAATTTTATGGCAGTAGAACAGGTGCTCACCAAGCATAGCATCTAGTGCCATCCTGGTAAATCAGCTTATAATGCCTTTTGAGAGGGATAGTTGAATCAGCTTTTGTATAGCTGGGAATGCATGCTCCTCGTTGGTGTTGAACGTTGCACTTATTGCAGCATGTTGTTGAGGGTTTCTGAGAGAGTCCATGCTGAAGCATGAATGCACATCTTCCACCCAAACTCATGACAACTCTTCTGAGTCGTATTCTTGTTGAAAAAATTCTTGGCAGGAATTATGGCAGGATCAACATAAAGTCCAAGAAGCATAGCCTCTCCTTTCATTGACCTCATCTCCAAGTTACAGTTCTACAGAAGTATTTTTTAAAAATACACCTCCACGTTTAATTGTGTCTACTAGATTGCTACAGTAGAAAATGTTATTCCTGATTTGAGCGTGAGGTAGGCTTTTGGAGGAAGCTTGCACTTCTTTTCAATCTGTTTTAAGATGGGACGAATGGTTCAGTTTTGAGAAATCTTATCAGACAGCACCTACCACTTTGTTACTGTCATATTTCTATTATTTTAAAATAAGACCTGCATCTTTTGGATTCTTTTCTGTTTCTGAGTGGGCTTTATATAGGTGTCTTGTCTTAACTCTGCATGCTTGGATGGAAGGGAAGAACAGACGATACGAAAGATGTAGAGCAGTCACAGATTCTCAGAGGTGATGGACTTGACATAGAGTGCAATAACGGTTGCACTAGGTCAGACCAAAAGTACAGTATTTTATCATTCTGTCTTTGACAGAGACTAAAAGTATATGTTAAGAGAATAACTTAAAAAATAAGTGTATAGTGATAGTTCCCTAAAATGTAGGAGCTACCTTAGCTATAACTGGGGTCTTTCTTTTTAAAATCTGTAGATCTTTCTTCTATGAGCTTATGGAGCTGTGCCTTCAATCCACAAAATTTCAGCCCTTGCAGTGGTCTCTGGCAGGGACTTTGGTAGCACAAGGCCGTGTCAGGTGAAGAGCTGCTTCCTGTGTGTTTTAAATCTGTGTCCTGCTAGTCTGATTTTTCACACCTGATATTTCTTGTATTGGAAGAGATACAAAACTGTTGGTTCCTATTCAGGTCTCTTTAGAATGCACCACTACTTAAGTATTGAGATGCTTATCTTTAGTCTTTTATTCTTTATGTTGGTGGCAGCTTACAGTGTTTTGAAGCTACTTTCATCTACCCGGAGTACTCTAATTCTAGCCTGAAATATTTAAAACTGAAAGCTTGATCACTTCTTAAATGGATAATTTTTGGGGTGCAACCATATCTATTTACCTCTTCAGCTGTTGAATGAATCAGAATTAATGAGAATTTAGATGATAAATAATCCTCACTATATGCTGGTACTGATTGTTCTTTTTCCTTTCCACAGCCTTTATTCAAATGTCTCCACCACAATTTCTGAGCTCTCATTTTTACTCTACTTGATGTCTGTGTTCTCTGATCGTCCTCTTCATCCTTTTTGTACATTGCCTCCTTTTTCTCTGTACTGCTCCTTTACTCATGCTTGTCCTCCATTTTCGCTTCATTTTACCTAAGTTAGTCTCATAATAAATACCTATAGTTGTTAGGAATAAAAAGCACTAAAAATAGTAAGTATGGTACTTATCACATGTCTGTAGTAATTTGGCTTACTATTGGCCATCTTTCTGCTTTTCGTTACTGTTCTCTTTAGTTGTAAGCTCTTTGAGGTAGGAAATAAGTTCTGCTGCAGGTACCATGCCTCACATAGTGGTTTCTGAAGTTCAGTTTGATCTTCTGACATCCATTGCAATACTATTGATGATGAAGTGAGTTTTCCCTCAAAACAGATTTTGAAACTTTTCTAGAGTATGATTCTAGTGACTATTATGAATTAATTTTCATGTTTTTCCCCATGAAAGCTGTCTTAGAAAATTTCTGTCTCTTGTAGGAACAGCAGCAATACTGGTACCAGCAGCACCTCCTTAGCCTGCAGCAAAGGGCAAAAGCCCATGCTCAGGGACAGCAGCAAATGAAAGGTCCAGTGGTGAAGGATGCATCCGAGCAGAGAGCAAAGTCTGAAGAAGGGAAAATGAGTGCTTCAGCTCAGCAGTCTGAACCTCCTCCGCTTAATGAATCCCTGCCTCCAGCTTCCAAAGACGATGAGTCTTCTCTTACATCCACTGAAACTCAGGTAGGCTTTGTAAAGTGGCTTTGCCACTCCATTTGTTGTGCTAGATGAGACAAAGAAACAGGAAAATAATGTCATCAAATTCTCATGTATACTGTGTAACAATAACTAAATATGGCAAAGGAATCTTAAAATAACATTTGCTAAGGCTACACCAATTAAAAAAATAAAAATACACTCCTTGTATATAGACTTAGATAGTCACCCGCACATGCACCAAGCAAGTCCAAGCTTGACTCACTTGCATCTTCCCCAACATTGTCATGTTTGTCTGTGAGAAAGATGAAAGTGCAAAATCAAGTACTCGGTAGATGAGGAATGCTATTTTTAAGACACTATTTCTTAATTCCTCTCTAGCAGTTTGTCAGTTCTGGCTTCCCTTCTCTCTGTATGTTATAGTTTGCCTGAAAGCCAAGAACTTTGTACAGAATATTTTTGTAAACACGCTTAATTACAGCTAATATATAATGGATGTAGGTCATGATTGATGTTTGAACAGATTACTGTAGGGTAGTAGATTACCCTGCAGCATGTGCTCCACTTTAACTTACAGTGTGTGGGTTCCTACCAAGTGGCAAAAATAATGTACTTGGAGTTACTTTACCTCATCATGAAAAAGCACTGTTGTCTCGTTATATTTGCTGTGAGCAACAGATAACAGATCTGCATTAATCTCTTTCCTGTAGGTAGTTTCTGTATGTATGAATACCCTAATTGCCATCAGCCTAACCTTTAGATCAGACTATTCACATTAAGAATAAATAAAAACCAGCCTTCCAGAGGCTGTGGGTGGCAAGAACACTCAAATACAGAGTGATAAAATAGCAAACACTGAGAAAGTTCCTGTAAACTGGGTAGTGACCAAGTGTGTTTTTCTTCTGACAGAAGGAGCATTCCTTTATTTGTATTTGCCTTTTTCTCTAGCTCAATATTGAACCTCCCGATGACCCTGAAGAAGATTTGAGATTGCAGCAGTTGCAAGCAGCAGCAGCTCAATGGCAGCAGCATCCCCATCACCGGGTTGGATTTCAATATCAGAGAATAATGCAGAAGCATGCCCAGCTGCAGCAGATAGTACAGCAGTATCAACAGATCATGCAACAGCCTCCACACTTACAGGTGAAACACTAAGGAGATGGTGTTTGATTTACTTGCTGGATGACCTAGCACTCATGGTCTGCTGAAAAAACAAGTAATTGAATAATTTGTCATGGTTGGCTCATTTGTCTAGCTACTTTTCCTGCTTAGGTAGAAGTCTATATTCCCTTTTCCTACTATCATTCAACTTCACAATGAAAAAAGAATTGACAGATGGTGATGAAGTTTCAGTAGGATGAGAAATACAAGACTTCACGCTTGTCGTAAGATTTTTCAGACATACCTGGGTGATACAGGAGTAAAGGTGAAGACGATATTGAATTTACTCAGTTTTGAATGTTTTACTGCTGGAGAAACAGTTCAGAAGAAAGATCGGGTAAACAGACGATTGCATGGAGTAATTTGGTAGCTGTTCTTTTTTACAACATTGTGTAGTACAAAAATGAATATGTACAATGATGAAGTAAACGTAGATGCCAAAATATGCAGTTAAGTGAATTAAGAAAATCACTCTCACATTATTTTTGACTCATAATCAATGAATAAAATTAGAAGTCTAATAATGAGTTTGGATAATTATGTCAGTGTTGCAACCTTTAAGCTTTTAAGCAGAAGTTGATTACTGTATTAGAGAGCTGAGTCAGCTTTTTCTGGATTGGTGGATTTTGTACATTAAGCGTTTCTTTGTAGCTTGGCCTGTTTGCTTGTTTAAAAAAGTGTCTTAAGTGTGAACCCTAAAAATCTCAGACAAGATCAAGCCATGGATATTACAATCTGTATCTACACATAATGAAAGACAGTATCTCCTTGAAAGAAGCTTTATCGTGTAAGTAAGATGATCTGGCAAAGACTTAGAGAAAAATAATTGTTGACAGCTGAAGCTACTCTGAGCGGGGTTAATAGCAGAAACTCAAACCTTGACAAATAGCCATGTACTCTATATATCAAAAGCGTGAAGATTGACTTGGGCTTTAGCCATTGTTAGCATCCAGTAATAATACAGCTTGGAGCCCTTTGGTTATAGCTTTCTTCAGCTGTCCTGTTAAAAACAAAACAAAAAAAAGAGCACCTTTTATACATAAATATCCTCTAGTCTTAAAATGTTTAAATTGGCACAATGACTTTAGACATCGCAGTTGGTATTTGCTTCAGTGTAGCTCTTCCTTGGGCTTCTGCCCAAGGCAGAAATTGTGATATTCTGAGTGATCCTGAAATATGTGGCTCTGAAAATAGCTAAGATGCTATTCTTGTCTTCTTGTTGCAGACAATGTCAGTGGACATGCAGCTGCGACATTATGAGGCACAGCAAAAACAGTTCCAGCAGCTTCATAAAGATTGGGAGCGATCAATGAACCAACAGTGGCAGCATCAGCTTCAAACCTACCCTCACAAAGACCAGCTTCAAGAGTATGAGAAACAGTGGAAAGCATGGGATGAACAGATGAAGGTCACTCAGTCCCATCTGCAGGAGAAAGTGAGCTCACTCCAAAATCTGAAGAATCAATATCCTGCAAACGTTTCGCTGCCACCTCCATTTGTTCCATATTCTCAAACCACTCAAGGTGGCATTCCTATTATGCCTCCGACTTTACCTTCAACTACACCTCCGCTGGTCCCCCCGCCTCTCTCTTCTGTTTCTCAGTTATCTAATTCCTCTGTCCCTTCAGGATCCAGTTCTCAAAGCAGTCAATCTACTGAGACACCAAGGCCAGCTCTGCTTCCCACCCCTGGTACCTATGCATCCAAAATAGCTAGTTCAACTGTCTATTCACCTTATCATTCTCAAGTAAGTTCATCCTTTGGCTCTTCAGACCACGGAAAGTCTCAAGTTCATCTTAGTAAACAAACTGTCTCTATTTCATCTGAGCAAGGATGTGGGGAACTGAAAGCCACTTCTGCAGCATCTTCAACACATGTACCTACCATGCAGGATAAACCAGTGAGATCGGGTGGATTGCTTCCAGATCCTCCCAGATCAGCACGTTTTGAAGGACCCAGAGGCCCTAGGTAAGGATGTTTTTGTGGATTTGTACATGTTCCAGGCTACAAGATATTCAGTGATATATTAGGAAACGAAACATATATCTTATTCTCAGATCTTTCTGAGGTCATGTTAAGTGTGCTTGTTTAGTAGAGGTTTCCTTTTTAATGTATGTGCACCATGCTCTGTATTGATCTTATTAAAGCAAGGATAGATAGATGCCTTTCACCTGAGCATTATCTAGAGTAGGATTTTTTTTTTCTAGTAAAATGCTTGGGCACACCACACCCTTTTCATTCCCAGAGACATAATATCCTTTTTGTGAAAACAGGAAAGCTGTTGTAAGTGTTTTATATATCTTTGCTGTCCTTAGGTTGAAGATGATAACTCACACTTGAAAGAGTGATCCTATAAGAAAAGTGATCTAAATTCCCAGCATTTTGTCTGTACTTGGAACACAGTTTAGGAAAATCTAAAGCAAAACTGTTGAAGGATTGTATTTAAGGTGTTTCTATATATGGTAGCACTTCGGTATAGGCATTCTGAAAGGGATTCAGGAAAGTATTCAGATACATATTCAGTTGAATACACTAATGTAGCTAATTACTGGCAATTTAGATGCCTTTTTTTTTTTTTTTTAGAAACAATAAGAAGTACTCTTTGTTTGTAATCCAAGACTTATTGCAGAAAGAAATGAAAATTCAAAGCTCTTCACCAGTACTTTAACCCTAATGTGCTAGAGTTCTGCAGCTGTATGATTTTCTATTCAGTGCCCTTTTCAAAATGGCTGTTTAGGAAGAGGGTTAGAGCTTGTCTTAAGTAGAAATCAATGGTTTTCTACACGTAACATTATTTAGCATTCAAACAATTATAAATGAGAGAGAAGGAAACAAATGAAGATTCAAGCCTTAGGATCCTAGCATTAGGATTCTTTGCCACCTTTTATTTTGTATTGTATCGTGATGGTCTTGGTCTTGAAGGTTGCTGTCTTTATCTTTTGGTAAGATACAGTTTTGTTAAAATTTAAATCTTCATTTTATCAGATGGATGACCTGCTGCCTTACTGTAAAGCTACTCTAAAAGCCAGTGTGCTGTGTCTTTTATGTGGTTTTATACCTGCTGTATGGTTTAATCCAAGCTCTTATTTTGGAATGGTTTTTTTCTTTCATACTTGACATGATATCAGGTTGCAAAAACATCTGTTCTATCTGGCCATTAGTTCAAGATGGGTTGATGTGATGCCTACTGAATCAAAGAACAGTGTTGTTCTGTTAAATTGTTTTTATCCTTACATACTCTGCTAGACTTGACAATCATATCTTCATGTTTATTTCCCTTCTCTTTGCTTCCAGATGATCATCTATGAAGAATAATTCATGAATTGCTAGCCATGTAGATGAATTTTTTATAGCTTTGAATAATTTTCTCTACCTCCTGGTGGTTTTTAAAAAGTGTTGTTTCTGGTCCTGGAGATTTGTTGGATGTACAGTTTTGAAGAGTTTTCATGATTTGCTACCACACATCTTTTATGTGCGTTTAGAGCTCAGCGATGTGCAATGATAGGCTATGGATAATCAAAAATTTCTAGCACATACAGGAGCTTTGGTTTTGAGCATACTTATGGTATTTAATTTACACTGTAACCTTTGTGCATTCCTATATTGTGATAGCATGACCATTCCAGGGTTTTATCAAAGCTTTCCCAAAAACCTGTTTACTGTTTCTTCTCAATATAGTTAGTAGAAAAGTGTCCTAATAAATTTTTAACAGAACTTGGGATAAATTAAAAATGTTGTCTGTAACTTGCTGCTATCCCAGCTAAAAAGTCCTAGGTAATGACTAGACATATAAAAAGACACACACACCCTTCTTTTCTTTTCAGCAATTAGCTTTTCTCAAGAAACTCTAAAGAACAGGCTTAAACTAATTTTCAGAATTTGGGGGATGAAGTGTGTCTTACAGTATCTAACCTTCTAGCTATACCTTCCATGTAAAAGTTGATCCTTTAAATCTAAGTTATCTTGCTGCTGTGCTTTGTAATTTCTTCTCTTTTCTCTTCTTGTTCATCTTGACCTGCCCCTACCCCCCAGAAAAGGCAGTTTACTGTGTTAATTTATCAGGATTATTAGAATTCTTTGAGGTTGTATAAATGATCTTGTTTGGTAAATCAGTCACTGAAACAGTAAATTCTGCAACAAGTCAACCGCTGTTGGTAACTAGGTGATAATGAATTAGTATCCATAGAATCAGAATGCTTTGGGTTGGAAGGGACCTTTTAAAGGTCATCTAGTCCAACTCCCCCTGCCATGGGCAGGGACATCTTCAACTAGATCAGGTTGCTCAGAGCCCTGTCCAACCTAACCTTGAATGTTTCCAGGGATGGGGCATCTACCACCTCTCTGGGCAACCTGTTCCAGTGTTTCACCACCCTCATTGTAAAAAAAATTCCTTCCTTATATCTAGTCTAAATCTACCCTTTTTTAGTTTAAACCCATTATCCCTTGTTGTATCACAACAGGCCTTATTAAAAAGTCTGTCCCCATCTTTCTTATAAGCTTCATTTAAGGTGGCCAGAAGGCTGCAATAAGGTCTCCTTGGAGCCTTCTCTTCTCCCAGGCTGAACAACCTCAACTCTCTCAGCCTTTCCTCATAGGAGAGGTGCTCCAGCCCTCTGATCATTTTCGTGGCCCTCCTCTGGACTCCTCCAGCAGGTCCATGTCTTTCCTGTGCTGAGGACGCGAGAGCTGGACACAGTACTCCAGGTGGGGTCTCACCAGAGCAGAGGGGCAGAATCACCTCCCTCGACCTGCTGGTCATGCTTCTTTTGATGCAGCCCAGGATATGGTTGACTTTCTGGGCTGTGAGTGCACACTGTTGGCTCATGTCCAGCTTTATCCGCCCATACTGCCAAGTCCATCTCTGGAGGGCTGCTCTCAATCCCTTCATCCCCTGACCCGTATTGATTCTGGGAGTTGCCCTGGCCCATGTGCAAGACCCTGTATTTGGCCTTGTTGATCCTCATGAGGTTCACATGGGCCCACTTCTTGAGCTTGTCCATGTCCCTCTGGATGGCATTCCATCCCTCAGGCATGTCAAGTTCTATAGACTTATGTATGTTCAAGTTCCTCAGGTGGTCATGAACCTGATTGTCTCTTAAAGTGGGAGGGACTTTGCTCCCCCAGTCCCTGTCTTGCAGCCCACCCCCTCAAGAGGTGTGGGAAGAGAGGTTGCCAGTGAAGGCTGAGGCAAAAAAGTTGAGTACCTCAACCTTCTCATCCATTGTTACCAGTTTGCCAGTTGTGTTCATCAGGGGGATACACTTTCTTTGACCTTCCTTTTCTGGTTGGCATAGCTATAGAGGCCTTTCTTATTACTCTTTGCGTCCCTTGCCAAGTTCAGCTCCGGCCACACTTCGGCCTTCCTGATCCCATCCAGTGAGACACAACATCCCAAACATCCAAGCAACTTGTCTTCAGACATGAGTTCCTTACTTTGTGTAAAATGTTTGATTTGTTTTCATCTGTAATGTAAATCAGTATTTGAGTATATACTTAGAGATTGGATTTTTTTACTCAATCAGCCTTGTTACATATGATTGCATGAATTATTCTTCATTAGTTTACCTGAACTATTTCCTCATATTCAAGCAATAGCAATTGTAGGTGCTCTCAAAAGGAATTAAAGTGATGCAATAAAAATGTATTTTTTAGGCATATTGTCTTGCATGGAGCTGGGCAATATCACAGTTTGTTGCACTTTCTAAAAGGATCTGTATTTAAAGATTTTTCTAGATGGCATTCATTACCATAGTTAAGTAGGCTTGTTGCATACTATCAAAACAGAACTTCAAAAAGGGGTTGTTGATTCCAACAAAAATTCCGTTAAACAACAGTTGAAAGCTTTTTTCCAGATGAGTTTGTCAGCTTTCTTTGTCAGTTAGGTTTCAGTCCTGAGATGTAAGCCAAGTTTCCTTTTAGGGTAACATAGTCTGCAAGTGGCTTAAACTGGTCTTCAGTGGACAATATTGAATTGAAGAAGATGTCTCAGTGCTTCTGCACTGGTTCAGTTGGGACTGATCCTAAGACACACTAGGATTCAGAAGTAACTGGGGCACGGGGGGTGAAACTCTCTTAGAGGTTTTTAATTTGACATGTTCGTTTGAATAAAATTGCCATTATGTCATCTGTAGATTTGATGGACCTCGAGGAAGAGGATATGACAAATTTGAAGGCTCAAGACAGAGAGGGCCTCGTTTTGACTCCCAGCGCTCAGAAGGATACAGGTCACGTTTTGACCGACAGAATACAGATGGACAGTCTTCAAGTAGATGGGGGACTATCCCACGAGGACCAGCAGCACAATTTTATACTTCGACAAATACATCACATGGACATGGTTCCCGACCTAGTGGCCCACGGTGGAGGGGGCCTAGGCCTCATTTGGGACAGCAGCAGCAGCAGTCACAGACTGACTCACAGTCAGAAAACAAAGAACCTTTTACAGAAGTAGCTGGCAATCAGCAGACTGTAAGCAGAACACAGTCTGTTCCTGATGCACAGAGCGCAGGTCCCATTGAGTCAAATGAGGACCTGACAAACACTCAACAGGAACCATCCAAACCTGAAGTCAAAGAAACTATTTCAGACCCTCCTAAAAAGTGGACATGGAGTTCACATGATCCTAACCAGCAAGTAGAAGAGTCCAAAGCACCTACTCCACCTATTCAGAATCAGAAATCAACATCACTTTCTAGTAGCCCTGTAGCTTTGCAGTCAAGTATTGCAAGAACAGGCAGTGCGGTAACCCCTGTAACAGGAAATCAGGATTTGGATTCACCAGATGGCCAGTTGATTGCTTCAGATAGCACCCAGGGCTTACCTGGACCAGAAGGCAGAGGGAAAGGGCCATTTATGCATGAAGATAGAGGCAAGGGACCAGGAAGCAGAGGAAGAGGCCAGGGCAGACTGGATGATGGCCGTGGAAGAGGGCAGGGGGATGGCCGTGGCTGGGGAATGGGCCGTGGCCGGGGGATGGGCAGGATGGACGGTGGATTGCTTCAGATAGCACCCAGGGCTTACCTGGACCAGAAGGCAGAGGGAAAGGGCCATTTATGCATGAAGATAGAGGCAAGGGACCAGGAAGCAGAGGAAGAGGCCAGGGCAGACTGGATGATGGCCGTGGAAGAGGGCAGGGGGATGGCCGTGGCTGGGGAATGGGCCGTGGCCGGGGGATGGGCAGGATGGACGGTGGCCGGGGGATGGGAAGGATGGACGGTGGTTGGGGAATGGGCAGAATGGACGATGGCCGTGGCAGAGGATATGCGTACAGGGGCAGAGGGTATGCTAGGCAGGCATCCATCCGTGGCAGGGGGATGTTCAGGAGAGCGGGCAGCAGGGAGAGGATGCCAGATAGGCGGTCAGGCAGCAGGGAGAGGATGCCAGATGGACGGTCTGGCAGCCGAGAGAGGGGACTGGGTGGGCGGTCAGATAGCCAT